ATAGAATGATCTAGCAATGAAAACAGAATTTAGAAGAGATATATGCACTCCCATGTTTACTGCACTATTATTCACAATAGCCAAGATATGGAAACAACCTAAGTGCCACCAGGGGGTGAATGGATAAAAAAAATGGGTGTATAGACACAATTATTCAGCCTGAAAGGAGGCTCACCTGCCATTTGAGACAACGTGGAAGGACCTTGAGCACATTATGCTAAGTGGGATAAGTCAGGCAGAGAGTGACAAATACTGTATGATATCACCTGCATGTGGAATCTTAGAAAAAAGTCAAACTTGTGGAAAACCTTGTGTAAAACGGTGTTTACCAGAGAGTGGGGGTGGGGGTAGGGAGACTAAGACTGATATTCACTAAGGGCACATATCTGCAGTGAGTAGAAACGAACCCTAGAGAGCTGGTGCACAGTACAGTGAATGCAGACAGCAATACCGCATTACCATCATGAAACCTGCTTAATTTCCCCAACCAACAAAAGACAGGACAATTATGGAATGTGACAGAGGTGCTAAACATTGCTCTGACAGCAATCCTATTACAATGCATAAATGATCAAATTAATACGTTGCATACCTTAAATATACAGTGTTATGACAAGTATATTCAGTAAAAAGAAAAGAAAAACTCCAGACTAAGAAAAAAGAATGGCCCAGATACAAACCCACATGTACATGGATCTGACTTACGAAGAGGATGCTGCAGCAATACAGTAGGGGAAAGAATGGTTTAAAAATAACACTGGATCAATTCGAAATACATATGGGGGGAAAATGAACCTTGGCTTCTACCTCATCCAAAAGCCAACTGTAGATGGGTCATAATCCCCAATGTAAAAAGCAAAAGAATAAAACGTCTAGATTACATCAGAGAATATTTTCATGACTTTGAGTTAGGCAAATACTTCTTAAACGGGACACAAAAACACTAACCATAAAAGAAATGATTAATAAAGTGGGCCTCGCTTTTTTAATAGCTTCTGCTCATCAAAAGATACCATTACCAGAGTGAAAACGCAAGCCACAGAGAAAAATGCTCACCAAAAGGAGCACTCTAAAAGTAAGCCACTAAGCGTGCTCCATCTCAGGTGTTCCTGAAACACCCCCAAACACAACAGAAAGCCAGGTGAGGTATTCACGTTAAGTCACGCTCCCTTCATAGCTCCAGTACTGAGAGACAGAGCCAATACCCGACATAGGAATTCCTATGCTATGTCTTAGGAACTTTTTTAAAACAACAGTTAGAATCATAGCAAATCGGAAGTAGAATAATCTTATCAGACCCCATACTCTAAAATGAGGAGCAAATGCAAAAAGTGGTTTTCCCCCCAATCTTAGATCTTCTTAGGGGAAGAACCAAAGCCAGAACCAGATCTCCTGATGCTCAGTCCTTTAAACTACACCAACCTGTCCCCCAACAGAAAACAGATTTTACATCACATGTAAATTAGAAAAGTGCTAAAGACACCTGGGATGGTAGCATATTTTCCTTTCTTTCAAGGACACTACTTTAAAACATGTTATTGAAAGACAGGAGGGAGGGAGGGAGGGAGGGAGGAGGGAGGGGAGCCCAAACCTTTACATTTTCAGAATCCTATGAATTCTACTATTATACTTTCAGTTCAACTCCACACATAAACTTATGACAACATAAGAATTTTAGAACCATTTGATTTCCTCCCACTGTGAAAATGACATTAAAAGGCAAAAGCTGAAATTGACAGGGCCATTAAAATGTGACAGCAGGTTTTTTTTAACAGTATTCCCTCTAACCTGACAGTTCAGGTCATTTCTCATCTCACCAGACCCACAGAAAACTTCAGCTACAAAGTGAGATTCCTGTATCCTTGAAACCAGAACTGGTTTCAACACTCATTGTAATTGAAATTCTCCTAATTTCTGTCTCAATTTAAGACCAGAGCATACTATATTTCTACTATAGGCCCCACGGGTGAGGAGTTGTCAGAAATAAATGAGGTAGTAAGTATGAAAGTACTCTGTGTGAAATTATTATAAGGCACATCGAAGGCACTATATTAAAAAAAGGTCTATATGAGTGTTGCTGATGTGAGTACGAGGCATTGCTCTCGGTGATAAATCATTAGATGCTAATCCTTTACAAACAGGAGCAAGACACGGACGTCTAGTCTCACTGCTTCATTTTAACACTATAATAGAGGTTCTGGCCAGTGTGGTAAGACAAGAAAAAGAATAAGAAGAAAAAGAATAGAACAAAAATTGGTAAGAAAAACTGTCATTATTTACAGATTATATAACAAAGTAGCTGATTTAAGATCAAGGCATTATTAATGTTTACTCAGATCTGTGCAAGGTATCCAGAATGGAAACTCAAAGGTATACTGCTGAGCCTGTGAGGTATGATGTTGGATATTATTCTAGAAATTAAAATGAAAGGACAGGTAGATCCCACTTAGTGGCCTTAAAGTCACACACAGCAGCTTTTGGGATATGGGGTGGTCATAAAATGAAAGACTTCAGTTCAAATTGAATATAAAAGCAGAGGAAAGAAGATGCACAAACCTGAAAATAACACTCAGCCCTAAATCACTCCTAAGTGTGCTGTACAATCTGTGAGTTATCACCACCACCTGAGTTTCCCTGTATGACACCTGACTACCAAATCCTAGTAGATCAAGAGAAGGAGATACTGTGTCAGTTACAAACCAGGTGGTCCACATGGTAGGACCCCAGTGAATTTTGCTTTCTAAAACATTTTCTGATATATTCACTTCTGCTCTCCTCCATTATCAAAGACTGTTGTAAACTTATGTTTAGGTAATTCATATTTTAGTGCAATATTACAAGCCTTAGCAATTTATATCTGCTATCTTGAATTTTGAAATTTTAATATGATTCTTTTGTTCTCTGCAATTTTCACAAAATTTAGTGCAATTTATTCAGCAATTAAGGTATCTTAGAGATACATTTTTATAATATTCTTTACTTAGAGTTTAAAATTGTCTAATTGCCATGGACAGACAATAGTGCAGTGAAGGCCTGGGGAAAGGGCAGGAGTGGAGTGTAAGGGGTCAGTGGGCGGGGGGGAAGGGACATTTGTAATACTTTCAACAATAAAGAAAATTTTTTTAAAAAACTGTCCAATTGTGTTGCAAAATATACACTGACAATCTAAAATGGCTACACAAGCTGTGTGAATTACTAATGAATAATTTCTAATGAATTCACAGTTGGATTATTAGCCTGCAATACTACAGCAAGGAGTAGCAAGCACTTAAAAGTACCAACTGTTTAACTTTTATCTCTGTGTTTAGTAATGTTTCAGATATTTCCCTCTAAATATTACATAATGACACAAATACTGTTTTTACTACAATAGAGCAAAACTAAGTCAGAGGCTGCAAGCACAAGGAGCCATCTGTTTAGTTATGTGAAAAAAGTATCAAGCATCAATTAGAGAAAAACTGAGGAAAAAGTCACTGATTGGCTGAAAACATACTCAACACTAGGCGGAAAATGTTACATATCCTGTAAGCCAGACCCTTCTAAATACACTTAGAAACTACATAAATTTTGATATCTTCCTTACATAAACCAGAAGCTAATTAGCCTGTAGAATTTCAAAACAGGTAGAAAATTTTTTTAATAATTACTTTTTCCTGTTACAAGCATATAATGAATATATTATACATTTTTCGTAGTGCAATGGTTTTGGCATTTTTAAAACTAGATGATGTATCACTTTCTAGACATCAGTACAATTCTCAGATTTTGAGTTATTTATGCATTTCTAGCTCTGAATGACACATCCATATAAAAATAGATCCCTGATCAGTGTATATATTTATAATCCTCCAAAATGGTGCCATCAGGAGACAAGAAAAGACAATATAGACAAAAGGAGACAGGAGTAGGCAGAGGGCTAACCCACAAACATGCAAGCTGGACTTGACTGAAAGCTGAGCCCTTTGCACAATCAAACATCACCCCTACTTGGTTAGCATATGCAGGCAAGTGCTTTTATAAGTGCCATTTAAAAAAACAGTAAATATAAAATGACATCGATGTGTGAGTATACTTCTGATTACCTACCTACTGGCTCATCTTTGATACTCAAAAGGCTAAATTTCATTATTCAAGAACTGATTATCTAACTTATAAATCAGTCATGGTGTTTGCTTTTTCTCCATATTTTAACAAGATTTTTGTGTAGTTCACTGTTCATTAACAATTCTACTGGAATGGTAGGTGAGGACAGTGTTGAGTATACCCACCACACTTTGTAGGGCAACTTAAATGTGAGGAAAAGGGCAAGCTTTGTTTAATGATTTCGTAGTTTTGGTTCTTCGGCCTTGATTAGCACTGACAATGTGAGTTAACTTCACGTAATGATTTAAAAAGTCATTCTGCATTTCTGACATAACTAGAGAAGTGAATAATCTGATGAGTATGCTCTGCTTACAGAGACAGAATCTTCTGTACCCAAGCAGAGCATGTTTACTGAATGTCAGTAAATAGTTTTCTTCCAGGCCTACTACCAATGAGGGAGAAGAAAGATTTCAAAATGGGACATACAAACTGCACAAAGATGTATGATGTGACAACACAGAGTCTATCAACAACAGGTGCCATACTGCTTCTTAATCCTGCTTATTGTAAAAAAATTGAGACAACTGCCACATTCTCTTGTCAGAAGGGCAAAGTCCTAGGGACTCCTCTGAGCCTTTACTGCAGAGGCCTGAAGAGGACCTTCTGTTCCCTTCTGTTAGCAGCAGAGCCAGGCTGAGGCCATACTGTGCCTCCTCCTCACAAGGTGGCACTGAACATGCAGCCAAGAAGTCACCTTCAGGACCAAGCACTGATCTGGCAGTTTCCATGTAAAGCAGAGAACATGACACAGTGCACATAAGAAATGAAGACAGAAAGAAATCTCAAACTCTTTAAGATGGGTTCCTGAAATAAAGCCCTGTAAAATCAGTTAGGAAAGCTGAGGCCGAGAGCCCTACCTTGCAGATCTTGTAGAGAGATTCCTGGCCGTCTCCTCCAGTGTCCTTAAAGTAATCATGTGCAGGGAATGTACGGTGAATGTCTCGAGTGATAACACTCTCCTGGGCAGAGTCCTAAAAGAAAAATTTGAAATTTCTTTTTAATTATGAAAACTAACATATATACATGGGAAAGAAAATTCAAACAGCACATAAAAAGTATGCCCCCACCCCTAATGCCTTCCATCCCAGAACCATAGTCTCGCTCATTCACCAGAGGTAAATACTCCCAATAGTTTCTTTGTATTTCATCCATCCTTCTCTAGATGTGTGAATGTATATTTACCTAAAGAGAAAAGAGGGAGGAAGTTGTACACACACATATCCATCCTTTGCTTTCTGAAGCACAAATAGAATCCAACTATCTGCTCCTTTCATGCAACAGGATAACTTACAGAATATTCCTTATCAGAACATGCAAATGTATTTTGTTCTAAGATCATCTACTTAAAAGAATGAGGTGCATCTGGATATGGATATATCATTATTTATTTGTTTGTTTTATTGAATTTTTTAGAGACAGAGAAAAGGGTGAGAGAGATAACATCAATGTAAGAGAGAAACATTGATTGGTTCCCTCCCATTAGCACCCTGAACGGAGTTCGAACCCACAACCTGGGCATGTGCCCTGACCAGGAATCGAACCCACAACTTTTTCTCCAACCAAATGAGCCATACTGGCTAGGGCTATCATAATTTATTTACTATTTTCCCAATAATGATTTCTTTGCATTTTTTATTTATATGACAAATTTCACTAGGAACATTTTTATCCATATAAGTTCAAGAGCAGGTTCCTAGAGGTGGAATTGCCAGGTCAAGGCTATCTGCATTTCCATTTTTTACAAAGGTGCTTTCCCCTCCAGAGTTGTACCAATATATACAAAGAGTAGGAAGAGTGCCGCCCCCCCAATACCACATGGTATCTACCTTTGTAATTTTGGACAATCTATTAACTGAAAACTCCAACCACAGTAATTTAAAAAGGTAAAATATTATCAATATTTCCTGAGAGGTTAATTCCCCAACTTACTCCAGAAAATAAAAAAACAAACAAAACTACTATATTAAGATGACAAATGCTTTTTAAAAGATATATCTAGAGATTTTTTTTTTCCAGAGTTAGGGTTCAAAAGCTCCAAATTGAGTAAAAGTCTAAGCCTTATAAAAAATGATTAATGATTCACTTGATTTTATTTCATTTCTGTAAAGATTGTTAGTTTTACCTGTTTAAATGTCAAGAAAATGGGATGGGACTACATCTAGCAACCCCAATGATGGAAATATTTTGCATAATTTAAGGGTACATCAATGACTAGAGCAAATTAAAAGTATTTGTTTAATGTCTTGCTTCCATAAAGATTTGAACAAATTCCCTCTTTCAGTTAAAACCCAGAAAGGAAAAAAGTGTTTAATATATGAGTTACTTTAATGAATGCTATTTCCCTTCGCTCTCTAGCTGAGAAGTGCATAAAGGAAGTAGTTGCTTGGCTCCCAGTGAAGCCAATGCCTTGTCTTACTGACTTTTTCATTTCAGCTGCTATTTCATGCTGGGTGGTAATTAGATCTTATATCACGTAGAGAAAGGACACAAACTGAAAAGTTCCACATTTGCTAGCAAACACCAAATGTATTGCAAATCAGTCCAGAGAAAATTCTGATGGCTTACAGGAATGGAATGAGAGGTGAATAAAAATGAACCTTAAAAAACATAGCATGACTTAAGTAAAGCACACATAGAAAGTTAATATTTATCAAGGTAAATGTAGTTGCTAAGGATAAAGGATATTTTGGGGTGAGCTGGGTATTGAACAAGGTGAATATAAAGACAACGTATAAAGAGATACACTATGAAATGCATGTTTTATTTGGTCTAGTCTGAAGAAGAGGAGGGGGTTTGGTACCAGGCAGAGGAAAGTTTTCACCGCCCGGGTGTCCTCCAAGAGAAGCCTTCTCTTTCCACACAGTAATAGTTTCCACGTACAGAATATTTGAAAAGATGACCAATGAAAATGTTATCACTGCTGTTGCTGGAAATGTTATCACTGCCGCTGCTGGACTATTTCAAAGGAAAACATATGCTGAGCATGTAACGCTTTTTGCAGCTTTCAAGATGAGAAATCATTGAACTATATTCCCTAGAAACTGCCTACTCATTTGGCATCATGCTAAGTTTAAATGGTACCAACAGTCTGATTAAGTGAAAGGGAAATTGATCAACAATTTCAAGAAAGTAACTTTGCATAATACTGAGTTTTTTTTCTATGCATATGTGAATCTTCCTTGTTTTTTTTTTAAATGGCAAAAATCAAATGAAATTAAAAATCATAAATTTTTCCTTAATAAACTTTCCCCTCCTAGGTTTACTTTTAAATGCTTTCTCCACATGTGTGCTCGTCTAGAGTTTTCTTCCTACATATTGATCTCAGTTTCAAAGGGAATAATTTCTGGAACTTCACTTTATAGACTAAATAACTATTTTGTTACATTGTTCACTGAAAGTGAAGGTCAAGAGATACAGTAGACCCTTATAAATAGGCTAATATGAATGAAATTGTGTACTAGACTAGAAAAAAATAATCATAATTTTTAAGTGAAAGCTAAAGTTAACCACCTCCCAATTACCCATACTGTTGAGAGCAGGAACAGTATGTATCTCAGGAATCCACACCTAATCCCCCAAAGTTCATTCACTCCCTCACCCATTCAGCAAATATTAGAGTCCGGGAGTCACCAAACCTGACTGCCAAAGGAGGGTAAAGCAACTGCTCTTTCAATATTCATTACTTTCTTTTTAGTCTGATTCCAATAATATTTTTCCATTTTTACAAGAAGTAAAATGGAGAGAGAGGCCAAAAAAGAGGCCAAAAAATCATCATCTAATACATGGAGTTAAAAGGTCTCATGTGAAAACCTCTTTTAAACTGATATGAGGTCATTTTCCTAGAGGGTCCCCATAAGCAGAGTCTCCTTAAGCCCTGCCAACCATCTTCAGAATGAGAAGAGGGAAGTCACTCCTCCTTCGTGGACAGCTGCTTCCCCAATATCCAGAGACTGACAACTTGACCCAACATTTACTCTCGGGTAGACGCACCTCGCTTTCCGATCCTCAGGTCATGACGGTGGTGTACTGGATTTGAGCCAAATGAGCTCATTGGTTCTATTTCTGGCTGCTCCTACAGAATCTCAGATAACTTATTGAATCTCACTAAACATCAGTTTCCTCATCCAAAAAATGGAACAACACCAAATTGATGTTGTTTAGAATAAAATAATGTGTACAGTGCTTAGCACACTGCCTAGTATAAACTGAGTAGTAGTGAAAGAAATAAATGAAAATAATAATTATTATTCCCCTTTTCCTTAAGAATCACATTTAACTGTTTAAATATTTTGGTGAACATACATTTTAGACATCCTTCTGTATCTGTACACTCTAAAATAGTAAATAACTGTTCTTCTTTGGATATCGTCAACATTATGATTATGAAACCAATTCCCTTAGAGTTTTCAGCATGATCACATAATACATACATGCTCTGCTCTGAATTTCTTATCATGTATCCTTCGTGTCCTAAATTATCTGTTTCTATTAATCTATGAATAAAAGCAAAAGTGAACAATTACTTGAATAAAGTGATGTTTTTATCAACTGGCAGACACTCTGGCCCCAGTTTTGCGTATATCCATGCAATGAGGAAAGATGTCCCCAAGCTCAGGAGGATGAGAAGGACAGGGTAAAGTGGAAGCTAAATTTGCCAGAGATGCTACCACTTCAGGCATCATTACTTTAGAGTTTAACTTCAGAGGATCAGGCAAGGGACAAAGTCATAGTTATGGAGAGGACAAATGCCACTGTCACTACTGCATGCTTCCCTTCTGGGCCATCACCACCGAGAATGTAACTGGTAGGCGAAGTCCTTGAGATCATCCTCTGTTCTGACTATGAGGGTTAGGTTGGGCCACACAAAAAAGCTGACTCAGATCAGAAATTAAGAGTAATGGAGAGAGGTTTTAAAGTCTTAAAAGTTGAGTTTTATTCCCCCACCCCACATCCCTGACACTACCACCACATAAATTTCTATTTAGTTAACCTTTTAAGGATTTTCTTTAATTTCCAAACAACTAAATCACAATACTAAAAATCTTCAAAAGAGACACTGATCTCCAGCATAAAAAATTCCACGGTCCAATAGAGGACATAATTCAGCTTACTGAAGATCAACTCTAAGAGGCATGATGAGCAGCTCAATTAATTTTTGATCGTTGTAAGTGGGTTCAATTTACAACTGTTATCAAGAGTATTACATGAGCTGTTCTTCCAACATAATGTATATACCTATACCCTGACAGTCTGTAATCCTCTTAATTCCTACCCGAAGAGAATCATCACTTACATGCTTGTTGGGAGCAAGAAATGAACAGAGCATTCAAGTGTCATCAAGTATTAGGAAGACAGGTGTGGATGGCCATAACCTATTATTTTTTATGAAACCATTTCTGGGCTGTCAGCAGCGGGAAAGCTATTTTAGTGAGATGACTGTTTTCATGTGTGACCTTAGTGCCAGATGAAGTGCAGAAGTAATGCCTTGATAAATGAACACCTTGACTGGACCCTGATTTGTTACATTTCTACAATGATGACAGCATCTTTTTTATCAATCCCTATTGTCAAATCCAAAGAAGAACTGCATTTTCACTTTTCATCTACTACAAAATCATGCCATCTTGTCAGTGTCACTAAAAATGCCAATGCCACCACCTGTCTACCGCCTAGCCACCACCTGTCAGCAGATAAATGATTCAGAGCTTAAAACATTTGACCTTAGAACGTGCCTTCTACTCTCCCTCCACAGGGACCCTCCTTTAGTTCTGTGTTAGAGCTAGATCTAGGGTGAAACATCACAACTGGTCGGCCTGCATGTCCCTGAAAGCAGATGGGTTTGCAGTGGTGGGTCTGATTGATTTGCCTTGATGTCTGCCAAAAACCCAAAGAGGCAGAGATGAAAGGAGAAAATGTAAGAGTGTATCTCATTTCAAATGTGCTACTAAAATCAGGAGCTGGAAACAGGAAC